CGCTTCCCAGTTCATTGCACTCCATAATCGCGTGTGCTGTGGAATGGGTATTGATTTCAAACCCATATAGTCAACATCTACCTTTTGCGATCATCTGTAACATTACTGTAACTATACAAAATATTATTTTGATAAGCTCCGTTTAAAGACTAACTGGCGTATAGCGAGTATAGTCGTTAACTTTCGTCACAACAGGACCACACGATAAGGATAACACCAATTTTATTATACCACAATCGCCACCATTATCAGGTACCTCAAACTTGGGTAATTAAACGAGTAAATAGATTTCACTATAAAATATAAAGCGTAAAATATGTATGAAAAGACGATCGGACGAGTGTCAGGCTCGGGCGCTTATATACGGAGTTCGCAGGTGGTGGTTCTCCAGCATTCCAAGGAAAAGCCCAGATGTTCGGTCCTTTTCGAAGTTCTTCCGACGTCCAAAGAGTTTTTCTGTGTCAAAGAAAATTACAGCTGTTCCATGATGAAAGTGATGACAGTTACATATATGTACTTTTTCATCGTCTTACCCAAATCTTGCAACTCGCGGATCGCCGCGATACTCCGTGTAGTCGTGGTAGGAATTTGTAACTCATTTTTCAGGTACAAGATCGCGCTGCTTGAAGCACGCCGTGCCGGTATTCTGAAAAATTTGTTCGTCGGTTTGTCGTTCGGATTGATGGGACTAACAAATTTCTCTTCGTTCGCGTTAGCGTTCTACATCGGAATCACGTGGACAGTTGATGGCCATCTGCAGTTACAGGATTTGATGACGGTAAGAGTGTCTTTTAGGATGAGGAGAAAGTTCCAAACACACTAGGCTCTGTAATGAAATAACTTCCCAGAAGTATTGGACAATCAAAGTTTATCTGTCAATGGCCCCACAGCTAGCGTGTCGTGGTACCGATTAATTATCAACTATAATCAAAGCTGTGTGAAAGAACAAAATTAAATTTGTACGGCCTAAGGGAACTCATTTCCTCAACTTACCTTAGTGCCTTGCCTAGGCGAACCATAGTTCTAGGTTACCCTCATCCTCAGCCGACCGTCGCTTGGCGCTGACATCGAATACAATCGACCCCTTTCTTTTCGAGAGGGTCTCAAACATGGCCACGATCAGCTTTAGAAGGATTATGACCTCCCTTTCTTACCAACCCCACCAGTCCCCTCACCTCCATGGTTGTTTCCATAGCATTTAATTCTGACACCATGCCTCACTCCAACCCTGTCCCGTATTTACTCCAAAATTGCTGTTGAGTGCGGCAGGCAAACAGGGGAGAGAGGTGGGTCGAGCGAGGGAACTAACACAACTTAGGGTGACGAAAAGTGCTATAATTTTGCCTATTTTATGAATTTTCGGGAAATTTAGCCTAATTGTCAAAAATTCCGTCCAAAGCGACCTCTCGATGACTCGCATACCACCCACAAATGACAAACACAGAACCAGAAAGACACCTGCCAATTCCCAAAGCACGCTCCCCAAGAAAATGAACCCCTGGTTCGATCGGACTGATTGAGTAACGTGCTAGCTACAATTTTTAACGGGCTCTTTTTGAAGCATTTCTCTATGATTGGGTTACCAATTGCTTGGTAGAACGGAAGAACCTAGCTCAAAGTATTAGCGTGACCTGAAAGTCTTCCTCGGGAATTGATAACGCGAGAATCGCGGTAGGTGCATACCATAGCGAACCGTAATTCTCGGAGTTCATGGTTTTCGTTCGCACTCTTCTGTAAGTATTTGACTTCAGACCTTCTTCTCGGTGATGATGGGCTCTTTGGCTCTCGGTCAAGCTGGGCCACAATTTGCCGTCCTCGGAGCAGCGCAAGGAGCCGCTGCCAGCATTTTTGAAGTGTTGGATAGGGTCAGGTGCACTACTTGAGTTTTATGAAAAAGTCTCAATGCTCAAATCAGTCTGCCGTGTTTAGGAACCAGAAATCGATTCGACTAGCAGTAAAGGTCGGCGAGACATGCGAATCAAAGGTAACATCGAGGTGAAGAACGTGATCTTCAACTATCCTTCTAGGCCAGACATACAAGTAAGTTGACCTTTCTAGAAACAGCTTTAATCGATTTCAGATGAATATGATGGCTTCTTACTGAGGCACCTCCACTTATGGAGTGCTCTAAAAATGAGCGATTTTTGGCTAACAGAAGCTAATTGGGCGCCGAAATGTGACGCCATCCTTAAGATTATGACTGTCAATTACACAGTTTTCTGGAGTGCACTTGCTCCTGTTGAGATGAGGGGTGGTCTCGTTGTTTGAAACTCCTGCTGGACAATCTGCTCCTCCATTCTCTCGCGGTCGGCTTTTGCTCTGGTCTGGGATCTCTGACTGTTCGTAAGGGGCTAGTATTAGGTTGGAGCAACCGTTAATTTCACAACACTAGGCTCAGCTCGGAAGATGGAGAGAACTTAATTCCATCCTAACCGTTGAATAATTTCACCCCTGTCATATTATCGATTATCTTTGATTTTTAAATTATTTTGATTTCATTTTTGATGGATCTTTGAATAATTTTTTGTTGGGCGTACGTTTTTCAAATACGTTCCTTATAACACTACAATTTGTTTAACTTTGGCAACTCAAGCAGGCCCTACCTTGCCCTGCCTCACTGGCCCAAGGAAACTTATTTCAATCCTAGCCTACTCCAGATATCTCAAGAAACTCTCATTGAGCGTGAGCCGGTGGACAGGTTAGCGCTTAGTCGTTCGAGCGGTTTGTGGTAAAAGTACCATCGTCAGCTTACTGCTCCGTTACTATAATGTTCTGGGAGGAGAGGTTGGTTAAGTATGAACTGTTCGATAATGGCTCGCCATCACGTGTACAGCCAATTTTGTATGCATATATACGTATTGATTGATGGAATTTAAGATCACAATCGATGGTGTTCCGATTTCCGAGATTAACATTGAATTTCTACGAAATCAGATCGCTGTTGTTTCACAAGAACCGATCCTGTTCAATTGTACAATCGAGGAAAATATTCGGGTGCGTTTTTTTTTTCGAAGAAAACAAGTAAACAACAGGATTAGCGTCCAGTGTTTTACCTTCTTGGCGCGCCTCATGCGTCCAGATTTCCATTTAAGCAACTTTAATAATTACGCTTTAGTTTGGACGTTCGGATCTCAGCTATCAGGAAATAGTAGCCGCTTGTCGTATGGCGAATGCTGAAGGCTTCATCAATGGTCTGCCACAGGTATAGAACCTTTTTGACGTTTGGTTTGGTTAGGCCCACTTATGGAAACGATTCTCCGAATTAATAGATTTCGTTTGACACAACGAGACTGTCGGCCTTGATTTATTCACTTATTTATTTATTTATTTATTTATTTATTTAATTATCTGTTGCATGCACATTTTGTACATGATCCCGCAACAAACGAGAAAAAAAAAACCTTACAACAGCAAATCCCGGAGGATGCTGGTGGCCATACACCATCATTGTGCTTTCTGGTGACAAGAAACAAAATTGCAGGGTTATCAGACGACCGTCGGCGATCGCGGAACGCAGCTGTCCGGTGGACAGAAACAGCGAATAGCGATTGCACGTGCACTTGTTCGCGATCCCAAGATTCTTCTACTCGACGAGGCTACCAGCGCTTTGGACGCTGAAAGTGAAGCAGTCGTGCAAAGGGCACTAGAGAAGGTACGCAAATGGCGCGGTACATCTCGACTCCAATTCAAGTCGTAAAGTTCAGGCTTCTGTTGGTCGCACGACGATTATCATTGCTCATCGGCTATCAACAATCAAAAATGCAGACAAGATCATTGCAATGAGGGTTAGTTATGGTATTCTGAATTACTGAAAGCGAACACTTTGACCACCAGGCTGCTGGGTACCGATGTCGAACCCAGTGAGTCTACAGAGCAGTGAATTTGGGCGATACTATTCTTAGGGGGCATCATTCAGCTTAGGAATGAGAGGAATAAACTGGCGATGCTAAATTGCTATAAACGCCCTTCTAGTCTCCCGTATGGGTGCTGGGTGTGTTTTGCTTTTGTGTAACGATGCCGCTCTCCCCTAAGTACAATAGCGCCTGAAATTGTGTGAGGCAGTTCGTCCGAGTTACCTTACGAGCGGCACGTTGAACCATCACAGCTTAATTTCATTACGCAGAGAGCCTGTAGAGCAGGAAAGCAGCAGCTCCACAGGATCAAAGTTATGATCACCAAGTTTGCTGCCACCTGCCCACTATTGCATTGACTTTCTGGCATGGTTGTGATCCATAAAGTTGGCCAAGAAAAAACCTGGTGAACCTTTTTTCAGCAAAATATAGAAAAAAGCAGTGTTTTTAGAGAGAAAGAGATGAAGTCGAAATAGAACCAGACGTTCGATTTACATACATTACTTGATACTTCTACATGCTTAGGCTGGTGAAGTGGTCGAAGTCGGTACTCATGAAGAATTACTGTCCAACAAAGGGCTTTACTACGACCTGGTACACGCACAAACGTTCACCGATGCAGTCGATGATGTCAATGGTCAGTAATTTTGTGCAATAGTCGCCATATACGACTTTACAAGAATCTCGGCGTGATATATTGGTGGCTGATATCATCTGTAGAGCTCTCCACGTGGTTGTTATGAGGAAGTTATTGGCTTACATTTTGGCGGGGTAGCCATCCCCTGAGCCTGAAAGAATCGAAGCAATTTGTGACTTTAGTAAACCGATCAATGTTCAGCAGCAGATTACTTCATCTGCACAGGGAGGGGAAAGACTTCGCGAACCCTAAAAACAGGCAGGAACTCGGAGTTTTTCCTAGAGTTGTTCCCTCACCATCTTCTCTCTTACCTTAGGCCTAAGATCAAAGCTTCCAGCCCTCGGCGCAGGATCGCAATTCTCTCCAGGTGACTCAGCCCCTTTATCAAAAGCTATTTTGAGTGAAAGTGTGACCTAAGCTATCCTTAGCGTCATTAACGCTCTTATCATGGACCTTATTGTAACGCAATGGATGCCTTCGCCCTTCCTTCCTCTTGAACGCCATTTTCACTTTTCCTGTATATCAGTTCATTAATTCTCTAAACTCTCGTATCATTGTATTTAGCCATTACTCTGAACATTAGGAAGCCGGCCAAAAACCTCATCAGAACCCTTCTGTTCTCCACATCAGGACCATTCCTTTTTTCGAACTAGAGTTGGGACGCAAAAATTCGCACCTTTTAAAGGACGAATTCACGATGAAAAAGCAACCCATTTCAAATTAACCTAGGGATGGTGAGTGGTACACGAAAGAAGGAAGAACCATGAGAAACGGCCCAGAACCCGAGAAATGGTACCCCTTCCTTGCCCGTTGATTCGAGCATTGATGCGACTCTCATCGCTGTGCCCTCTTCAACACTACGCTCTCTCAGCTATCTAATCACTCGCCACGTATTGAACTACGGCGAGTGATCAGATGATCGGTGGGCGGAGATCGCCGGACCCGCCAGCTTTGAGGCATGATAGGTCGCCGAGGTCAAATTTTTCCATGCGAATTGCGCGTCAGTTCGCACCCTCAGGAGGTCCGTGGGTCCCTCAACTAGGTCAGTTTCCCTTTCTTCGACCTTCATTCTAATCGTGAATTCCTCCTTTAAGCACCAGAACACAGGATTCAAGATACACTCGTAGATTTCGAGCCTACTTTTTCGCCACAGTTGCGATTGAAATTACCCACCCGTTCATGTGGGCCTAATTACTAAACATTTCGAAATTATAAATCTCAAGATGAACGGTACCAGGGCTCCACAATGGGTCAGGTCCAGTTAATTTAGGAAGTGCTATATGATTGTTGAATCTCATATACCCCATGACATGCTCCCTTTAGCTCACGAACACGATGAAGAGTTCGCAGCTGTGAGTCAGAAGAGGGCCAGCCTAATCTCCAGAGAAATCTCAGTTCAAACAGCGAACGAAACGCAGGTGAGCCTTGAAGTAAGGGAAAACAGTCTCTTCCAAGTAGATCAAAGTCATATTCATGATTACAACAAAAATACTCATTATTACAGCTCAGAATGCGAACTGCTACGATCTTGATAAATAAAAGAATATATATACTAAAAACGGAATACTACAGAAAAATTTACTATACAACTAAAAGGAAACATTATAACGATCCTGACGCTGGAAGATCAGCAGATTGATGACAGCAAAGAAAAGAAAGATGACATAACTCGACTCCGTCAAGGTACTTCACACTAATCTATCCTAGTGGATTTTTCAAGCAGAAGATATACTGCTTTATTGGTGTGACGTTCCAGTTTTTCCAAATCACGGTTAACTCCCGAAAGGGCCCATCGATGTGAGGGGCACGGAAAGCCAACAAATTTCATACTTGGATGGGTAATAAACGACGTTTTCTAGAACTGAAGGCTGAAGGAGTGCAGAAGACGAATCTGTTCGAAATCCTCGGCTATGCTGCTCCTCACTGGAAAACGATAGTGGTGGGACTCACAGCCTGCGTCATCGGAGGACTCGTCTACCCCACGTATTCTGTGGTGTTTATGCAAGTGATTACGGTAAGTTGAATCAGTGCAATAATCCATAAGGGTTATCAAAACCTTGATCTTATTACACCCATGAGCATTGTTGACCATCGCGTCAAGGAAAGGTCCGCGGCAATACGAACCTTTCAGGTCGTCGTTAGAACCCCCTCTCCCTTCCCTTGTAATGTCGTTTACTGTCATTGATAATGTTTCCTACCGGACTTAGC